TTTCTCCTCCTAATCTTAGCCATCATCTTTATCGTCGTAATATTATACGTAGGTTCGATTGTCTTGATCCGTTTCTGAACGAAACGTGCGCACTCCCATCCCTCTCCCCTTGCGATGAATTGAACTTTTCCCCATCGTCTAAATTACAACCTTTCTTGGTTGGCGGAGGCTCGGCAAGGGCTCGCGCACGGGGACCTCGTAGATCATCACTAACCTCAGTCAGCGCTTTGCGCTATTTGTACCTACACAGGACCTCGAGGCCCTGAGGCCCCCATGCGCCGCCGTCACGTCAATTGCATACCTGTCTTGATGAGAAAATCCTAAACGAACCGGTATCCTGAGCTCGGGACTCGCAACGCTCACCCAGAGAGACACAGAAGGGCAGTCCGTCGGAATATCCCTGCAGTCGACGGCCTCGCCTCCGCTTTCACTGTTCATAGTGTCAGAAGCTCAAGCAGATTACAATTGCCGATTCCATTATCATCTTGATAGCATGATAATAATCATAACAATAATTACCGTTACGGTAGTAATAATAAGTAGTGAATACAACGTCGATCATATTTGTCATTGTACCGTTACCATCAATGGTCGTGATTTCAATCGCACTTGACGGTCGAGAAGTTGCGTCTCACGTTCTTTTTTGACTATTTAGACTTTGTGTTCGCTCTCGCTGAGAGGTTTAAGGGCGCTTTTCGTTTAGTACTTGCTCGGTGCCTTCGGGATGGGCTGGTTCGACTTCCATCCATAGGTCGGCCGAGCTGCTTCGAAGGTGTTCCAAGGGATGAGCTTCGGGCTCTCTGTCGCAGTTGATATCTTCTGTCTGTCTGTTTGTTTCAATCTTTCTTTCAGTCGTTCCTTGCTGCTGCTGTTGTTGCTGCTGCTGTTGTTTTCGTCTGTTTATTACTTTGTCTGTCCGTCATTATTGGCGCTCGACGTTTGGCGTTTTTCGTTCCTCTAGGGAGGTCTCTTTCGTAGTGTCGTCAGGTGGCTGTTTGTTTGTTTATCTGTTTGTTTGCTTGTTTCTAAATTCTCTTGTCACGTTCTCGCTTGCATGGATTCTTCGGGCTAGTTGTTTGGATTAGATTGACGCTTTTCCGAACAGGGATTTGCTTGGACATCTGGAATCAGATGCCGCACGAGACGACGTCTGTCGAAAGTCGTCACGAATGGTGACAGTTGGTTCGGGATTACGGAAAACGGTTTATGAGGCAGATTGCTTGGCGTGTTCGCCTGATTCGAACTCAGTGAGATATTTCGTTGTCTCCTGGTTTTGCGGGGTAACAGGAAGTTTGGAATTCAATAGCGTGAGGGAGTGTTGTCAATGAATCGGAATAAAATTTGGCCGACTCGGCAGATGGCTAATATTTTGGCTTGGATGGGCTTTTCCCTCCGTCGGGCGGATCTGCGCGAGATTTGTGTTTCATTTTGGCAAGCGGCTGCTATTCCAGCGTAGTTTCGCATGGCTTCCCCTGCAGGAGCTCATTGGAGCTCGCTCCGATGGAGTCGATTTGTTTCTCCCCATTCGTGCTCAGTGGGCAGCGAATTCAAATCGCTAATTCGTGATTGTTTCGAAGTCCTATCATTGAGTATCTCCGATACTTAATCGATAGCAGTGGAAGCGATGCGTCAGAATCTGGCTGGCTTCGCAATTTTGGCGTTGGATGCGCTCTGCTCGCTTTGAACGACGGTAGCGTGAGCATTTGTGATGAGATTATTCATGGTTATGACCAGCAGCGAAATGTTCTCTACTGTGCTCGTCTGTATGCGTACGTCTGTTTGAATGTGTCATGTAAGCTTGTGTGAGTTTGATGGTTCCATGCGGATGTATGTATGTTCGGTTTGACAATGAGTTTTGATTTCTCGATGTCGAAGCGGTGGACGATAACCGAAGAGCTCTCTAGCGGCACCAGGCCGGCGCTGAAGCAGATGTTGATGTATTTACACATGATGTTATTGAAGACGTTAGTTTAGCTGTTGTTGCTGATAATGATGTTGTCGTTGCTGTTGTTGTTGATCATGTCGCTGTTCTTCTTTCGAATAATGTCGCGGTTTCGGATGTTTAGCATTTGGATTGATGTGACACTAGCTTTCGCTGCGGCGGCTGCTGCGATGGCGGCGGCTGCAGTAGATGTGAACATTTTATTGATGTCGATCTGTTAGATTTCTTTGCATCAGAATTTGATGGATAGAGAGAGATATATAGCTGGAGAGATTAACGCGTTTGTCGAATATTTTCATAACGGTTGGCGTATGGTTGAATGCTTGTCAGAAGCTCGTGGATCGACGCCACGTCTGGAAGCCGCGTCGCTCCTTCGTCCGCATTCGACTTCGGGCGACCCGCTTCCAGGCGAGACGTCGTTCCGAAAGTTGTTTACACTTCTAGATGTATGTGGTGGCTGCAGGCATGCGCGATCTGCTTATGATTTGCGCACTTCAGACTGGCTTGTTGGATGATGCGGTGTCCTGTTGGCGCTGAACACCGAGCCTCTTGCCTAGCAGCTGGGTCGTGGTACAATGCATGTCAATTGCCTATGGGGTAGGGATATCAAGCGGCTGCAAAATTGCGCGAAACTAAAATTCCCACCTTGTTCACGACGGACCGACCCGATTGACGAGGTTTCGCTACAGACTGACTTGCTGCTATCAGATCGGATAATGGGAAGGGACGGGCAAAGGGATCCTCATGGGGGGTGATTCTGGTATACGGAGAGAGGGGGAACAGGAAGCCGGTCCGGACGCGAACAAGGTCGTTTTTCATGCAGGCTGCAGATGTAGATGTAGCCTGGCAGCATCGCCTAACATAGTTTCCTTCCTTTCTGAAGTGGTCAAGTTTTCAGAATAGATTTTGTCGTTCGGAAGATGTGAGGTGAAAGGAAAACCAAACCAACATTGCTGTGGGGTGTCTGGTTTCTGAAGAGTGTATCGATTGATTGGTTCTTTGTTTCTTCGTTTGTTTCTGATGGTTGGTGGGTTGCTCGGTAGGTTGGGTGCAAACGAGCGAAGCATTATCTGCGCTCAATCGCTGGGCGTGGCATTTTTATGTAATGTTAATCGGCCAGACGTTTCATTTCGGAGGAAATCGTTGAAAAAGAGCAATATGGCGTCGAGTCTGGCGGCACATGGTTTTCACCTTCGGATCAAGAACACATTTCTTTCGCTTTTCGACCCGAAAGACGGGTTTTTCCAGAGAAAAATCACTATCGACCTTGGGATCGATCTGAAAACCGAATAAAGGGGTTCAAACCGCACATAGTACGTTGTTCATAGACTACATCCAGAAGTGAATCGATGAATGAATGAATCATGGTCGGTTGATAGGGGGAGTTGTCTCATAATCTGCGGGAAACGAGGGAAATCGAGATAGAGGGGTTGAGAGGAAGGTATGTGTGAGTTTCTGTGATGCACTCGGTGAGCTTTTCAGTGAAACTGGAGGTGTTGCTCCGGTGGAGAAGACTTCGCTCTTCCTCGACAACCAGCTCCAGCTCCGCAGCTTTTCTTCGAGAACCGCGGCTGGAACCGTAGCGTGACTGTGGTTCTTAGTTGTCGTATGAACTTGGTTTGTCGGTGATTGCTTGGCTTGCTCCATGTACTGTTGCTGGTAGCGAATGCTGTGTGCTCCTTGTCAAGTTTTGCTCAGTCAGTTTTGGTCGAGACTTTGTGCAGCATAGGCGCTGAGTGGCTTCGTCGCTCCTTCTTTCGTTCTCAAATTCATCAGTTTCGATTCTTTTTTTTTGGCAAAGAATTTCGTCGAGTTTTGAGTCTTTTCATGGTATACGGATGATCTCCGCATGGCATGGCTTGATGATAATGATAATGATAATACATAATCGGTTCATGACAATATTAAGCATTCGAAATCACGAATGGGAGGTCCGGAATCGCATATTGGCTTCCGCCTCAAGTTTTGGAGATTTTTCTTGCTGGTTACAGTTTACTTTTCGACGTCCTCTGTGGTGACGCTGTGGGAGAAAGCGGAACATCCGAGAAGTGCTCTTGATATCTCTGATCCGATCTAGAAAGACGACACGATCGTATTCGAACAGCGTCCCGATTAACTCCTTTCAAATCCCGCTGGATAATACGATTCATGTGGATTCTCAAGGTTTGCAGTTGCATGCACTCAACAGAACGTTCGGCTTTCTCACAAGCTTCGGACAATGAGAATATTTTGCATCGAAATAGGAACTTCAGAATACAATCATCATCCGAGAAATAGATTAAATCGGTGCCAGCATTCAGCGTTTGCAGCTCAAAGTTGTGTGAGATTCGTTGGTGATCGTTCAATGTAGAAGTCTCTCCGAAGTTGTAGTAGCGGAGAGACGATTTCAGTTGACAGGGCCAAAATCCGCCTGGAATGATCCTCTTATGCGACCACGTCAGTCAGTCGGCGAGTCTCCTGTTACCGTGGGCGCTCAAATATTCACGTTGGCGCGTCGTGCGTTGCAGGACAGCGTACCGATCGTCGGTCCCACGTCCTCTCCGTACACACGCGAAATATTGTGTATTTGAACGTTGATGGCCCCAGAAGACACGCTCGCTAGATCCGGTCGACGGGTCGACGACCGGAATACGCACTGGAAGGGTTGAGTGCGTCGTGTACGTGTGTCGGTGCAGGATCGCTTTCTGTGATGGTGGTTGTTGTTGAAGTTATGGATCAAGAGAGGAATCGAACGATCGATCCCCCGTTAGCGGCGGCGGTAGTTTCTTGCTTGTAGTTCGTATACTGAATACATTCAGTATATTTAGGCATAGCATCAGTAAATCGCATTCGACTGACGCAGCGGCAGTCCCGAGGGGCAGCCAAGACCAAAGGAAGAGCGGTGGCGCTAAGTTCAACGAGACACCCGAAAAATCAGGGCATCCAGGGAACATCAGCGCCCGTACAACACTCTAGTCTCGCTTGGATTTTGACCCTAAAAGAGTAAAAAAGACACGCGAGTTCGGCGCCCATCTCCCTGCCCCTTGGGCCCCCTATTGCGGGGACCCATACCCAACTGTCATATATTCGTGTCCGCGGACCCTCCACCACCAAGACCTTGTCCCCCCTGTCCACCGCCTCGTCCTCCGAGGCTGTCCACGAAGCCTGAACTGTAGTCGGAAGATCCGTAGTTTTCATCAGCGCCAGAAAGACCTCCTCTGCCGCCTCCGTCTCCGCGGAAGTCGAGGTTGTATCGCGTGGCACACACAAGACACGTGGTGACCACTCGCGAGATTACGTACATCAGACTTTTCGTCTGTTGAATTACCACGTCCACCTTTGTGTAGGTAGCGGCCTTGCCCACAGTCGGTGTTTTCACTGTGAATTGAATTTGTTGGACGAAGGCCGGCACCTTATCGAGGAGTTCCAACAGCTCGTTCTTTTGTTGACCGCCAGGAACCTGGAATGCAAACTCCGGTGAATATCGAACGTCTCCGCGCGGGGTCGCGCTGTCGAGTTCGCTACCGGATCTCCGGTGAAAAGTCGACAGCGGAACGGATATTGGGACGGTTTTCCGAATCTATTGTATGTCGAGATATTTGCACGAGTACGCTCTCCAGCGTTTGAATGGCTGCGGGAACATCGCATGATCCGATAGAGAGAAATAATGTGGTTTCGTAGGAATAGAATTTCGCAATGAAGGCACTAACCTGGAATGAGAATGTTCTCACTACTTTGTACGATTTGTTTGCTTCCTCGGCGAAAAACTCCGCCTGAGTGAAGAGGTCCTGCGTCGTTTTGAGTTCGCCCTCTCCCTTGGTAAATAGATACATTGATTGCGCCATCTCAGCTATGGTTTTTGCTCTTTTCACGATATCGTTTTCGGTCGGTGGCCACTTCTCTGTCGTCGCCTCCATTTCATTCTCCGTAGCGCCCAACTTGTCCTCCGATTCCATGTTGCCCGAACATATCTTGCCGCCCGTCACGCCAGCCTCACCGTCTCCTCCTTCCATTCCAGCTGAAATGCGAAAGGGATATCTGCTCGAGTGTCGCTCTCAGGAATTTCGAGACGAAGGTTCGTCCGATATTCACATGCTCTCGAACAGTTTTCCATTATATTCTCAATACCAGTGCAGAGCCGAGTCGTGGTTCGTTCTTGACTGGAGAGACATATCTTGGAGGGTCAACGACCTGTTCGCGCGTGTATATACCTCGTCAGTGAGCGAAAAAATTTTAGTAGGTCCGCATAATCGGAATCATTCGGCGACAATAATCTCCAGTCATTGACGCATAGCCAACAACTGCTTAAGGGTTCCCGATTCCGCTCCACGCAGACTTTACAAACGGTTCTGTATCCAGAAGGCGCAATGAGGCATTCCGGAATGCTGACGTATTCCAACCAGTGCTGTGCGCCGCGTCCTGGATACGGCGCACAGGTCTGATTCCAACCTTCGTCCTGAATGTTTGGTGGACAAGCCTATCGCGGAGCCTGGATATTCTGTCCTGCCGTACCAACGCACCGGGAGGAGCCAGTGTCCATTCTTGCGAAGCCGTCTTTGATTGCGCCGTGCAGCTTGAGTAGAGGGCACCCCCTCGGATAACATTTTCGTTTCGAGTAACCAGCGCACTTTTTTTCGCCTAGGTGTAGGCGAGAATTCTCCCAGGCGATGATCATTCATGTATCCAGCACAGTGACTAGCGGCACAACATTGCCGAGTGAGACTCGCAGCCGCGTCGGAGAGATTCATTGCGAGTCCGTCGCTCGTTCAAAGCGTGCGTGGCGTGCAAGTCGTCGAGGCCATACGAAACGTGACCGAGCTGGGTGAGCACGCTACTTGCGTAGCCTCAGGGTGCAAGGACTGCGCGCGCTGTGTGTAGGATGCGACGGCGGCGGCGGCTATCCTAGCGAGCCGCTGTTTCGTGAGTAGTGCGCGTTTCGGGTACCACGTGCCTCAGTCGAATGGCCGAGTAAGTAAGACGGGTGGTCGACCATGCGATAGTCTTCGGAAACGATGTCCATCGCTTGAAAGGCCAAGCGAACCTGTGCATGCTCCTGCGAGAGGGCGATGATACTATCAGTGGTCTCAGTCATCATCGAAGCACAAGATTACGAACACGGAACGGTTAACATTTCGGAACACGTCAAGTGTGACCTTGCCACAGCATGGATGGAATTCACATATAATTGTCGGCTAATGCCCGAAAACACAGACGATACGTTGCATCGATGGACGGATCCCTGATCGGAGGGTAATCGGAGCTCAAGACGGCGAGTCGTAATGTCAAAGTGAGCTTCATGCGAGGCAGCGATCGGCTCGCTGAGCTTAATCTCGGCGAAATAATGTGCGGCGGGCGGTGGTTCTTTATGTACACCTCAGCGACTTAATTCCCGTGCTCCGATAGTGAATTGCATACGATCAAGTAAAGCAGATTGATTGCACCATCCGTAGAACCAATAACGCACCAACGATATCGAAACCTGGTCCCGTCGATACATGACTGTTCGATCTAAGTAAGTCGAGGCCATCGAGGTCGATCGCGCATTTCACACTCAGTCGGTCGTCCACGTCGGGTGCGGCTCACAGTCGATGATTTGCACATCGCGAGATGGATCGAACGAGGCATCGATCCGGTCCCGAAGCTATTCGACCGGATCCAAACTGGGCGCAAACGCAGGAACACTGACAGATTGAACGAATAAACTCACCTGGGCATGGTGGAGCGGGTGGCGGTGGCTTGATTTGTTGACTTGGTGGCATCTGAGCGACGTGGCTGTTTCTGACTCCGGGGGGTAAGTCAGGCGCACCACCTACTCCTTGTACACGTCCGTCGCCGTTCAGGACGACGGGATTCATCGAGGGACTCATTGAGTGATGAGTCGTTCCCTTGTCCCCTCCTTGTATCGGATGTGAGTCCCGGAGGGCCACTGGCATATGGTGGCTTTGCATCGCTTGATGTCCCTGCATACACGACGATCGAACATGAGAAGTCGGCCGTTTACTGTCCTATTCATTCACGTATGTATATTATTTTCGCATCCGGGAGGATCATCCCCCCCCTCCCCGCGCTCGTCTTGGGGGTCCGTTCGTCGGGTCCCACCAGCGAACGGAGCAGTGATACATTCTGCTGTCGTTCATAAGGTAAGTAGGAAGCCCCATCGTGTCTGCGGTACGGATGTACGCAGACAGACTTTTTCTTGGGCAGGGGAACAGCAAGCGAGGAACGGCGAAGAGCATTTATGAGGCCGACGGACAGAGCAACGAGTGAGGATAACAGCGACACCATCAATAAAGATGATGACGACGACGACAGCGACGAAGGCATCTAGCGTTACATTAACGTCGGGGGCCACAGAAGAAGAGGACTACGAGCAGCCAGGTCTCGAGAGAGTCGTATGGCATAGAGCAGACGAGATAGGCAGAGAAAAGGACATGGGACGCGGTTTACTCAAGTAGTTCGGATAAGAGTAGAAATCACACAGCGACTGTCCCCAGTGTCGGTGCTCTCTGACGACCTTGGGCTCGGGAGGCGGCTACTCGCTCAGGGCAGAAGACGGGACGGGAACAGCCTCTTATTGGTGGCCATATCTCAAGCAGCAGGGAAAATCACTATGCTTGTTCATGTGTCGAGTCGCCTTTCAATCGTTGGCGGGTAAAGAGAAGGAACGTTATGGCCACCGGGTCTGACGAGTCGCGTGGGAGGACACGGGACGAGCCTCTGACGGGCAAGGGAAGGGCGGGAAAAGACACGAACAGGACATCGAGTCGATCCGCCGTCGCTCAGGACGTCGAAGGGTGAGTCTAGTGATTGTTTCGACAGTGTCAATTCGTAGTTGTCTTGAGTGGATCTTACCCTTGGATTGAGGGACATATACATCGTTTGTTGTTGTAGACTAGCGAGCTGTTCTTTTTCACGTTCGCTATCGGCTATGGACTTGATGGCGAGCGCTGAGCACTCGCGATTCATTGAGGCTAAGTCGTTTACTAGTGACCGCCAGACGTCCATGAACACGTCGACGTTGTCGCGTGCCGTGCCGCTGCTGGGGTGCGCGCATAGCGTATGGCACGCAGACAACACGTGTTGCGAGACGACACGCAAGCATGCATCTGTCTGTTTCGCCTGCACTTGGAGACGTTCTGTGGTCGCGATGTGGTATAGCAAGCGACAGACCTGGAAAGCGACGGCAGTGGTTAGTCGGAGGCGAAAGACGCTCAGCGGCGCTCTTCCCGGAGCGGGACCGCACCGTCACCGTGACCGCCGGAACACGCTCCCTCTAGTTGATTTCGGTTGCATGCTTGTGAGCATTCGGAGGGGCGCTCAAGCGTCTCGCGAAAATAGTTGCGGATCATGAATTATTCGCTTGAGTCCATCCGATCACTTTCAATAATTTGGACAGTCGCTGATTCGATCGAGTCCGGGTCTGACGCCACTGATCCATCCATGCAATATTCACGGATTCCGTTCCCGTTGTCAACTCGTTAGGAATTGCCAGGACAAGCTCGAGCTCGTCTCTCGCTGCGGGCGGAAACCAAGCGGAGAGTCGTCGAGTTCCTGGAGGATTTGTATGTCGCTTGAAGGAAGCTTGGAACTCGAGCCCACCCTTTCGCGTTGAGAAGGAAAGTCTCGCGGCGTTTCAAAACTCGCCAGTGTTACAAGGCCGGATTCCCCTTGAGCCTCTTTCTTCTATGCTCATCACGTCGAGGGTAGAATGCCCCATGTCGAGCGGTCATCCCGACAGCTAGACTGACAGATCGAAGGAGGATACCAACCCCGGCTCAGTGACTGACTGACAGTCAGATAAGTGGACGATTGAGCGGATGGACAGCTTGACGCCCTCGACCTCCGACGAGAAAGGACTGGGCATGCAGGAGATTACAACTTCGCCGACCGATAGCGAGGCACATTCTTGGAAGGGGCAGAGAGGGTGCCGGACAAACAAAAGAAGACGCGGAGTCCCCATCACCGACGAGGATGTCAGGAGGACTGCGCGTGACCTCGCTGCGGACTTTCATCCAAGCAGAAAAACGAATGAAGTGAAAGACGTCGGAACTTGGAATGAGCTCGATGACGTCGACAGTCGAAGTAGAGAAGTCGTGCCAGGAAAGCACTGCGCTCAAAATTGCGACGCCTCCGAACAATAATTGGTCACGAGCAGCGACTCTGAGGTCTCTGAAGGCTCTATGATGGGTGTCTCGATTCGGTGATCAGGGCGGAATGCTCGTAGCAAATTGTATATGGTGGAGTGAGGGGGGCAGAAGCATTCAACAAAGATCGTATGGAAATCACAGAGAGGGGCCTCGAGAAGTATCATTCGGGCAGACGGCAGGCCGCTGACGCGACAATAGGGAACGTGAGTGAAAAAATTTCTCTACTCTGTTTGGACAATGCTGACCTCTTGTACGTGTTCGGCGTGTTCGGCAAACCTATCCGCGCATTGCTCCATGGTGGAAGGTTCACCGGTTGCCGCCGCGTTCTTGAGTGTCTGCAGCAGCTCGCCTTCGTCCATTGTACGAAACAGTTCGTCCGTGTGACATAGCGCCGTCTCCTGCAGTTGAATCCATAAGTCGTTGGAGGCTTGAGCGGTCTGTCGAATCGTCACCTCGAGGCCTTCGCTAGTCTGATGAGGTAGGTCACCCTTCTGCTCCTGGAGGAAGAAAAAATTTCAACCGAAGTTAGTCGAGCGGCTCTGTCGCGGGCACTTGTAGTGATTATTGTTGCTTCCTTGCTATTCTCCCGGGTCGTAAACTCCACCCCTTGCCTTCTCCTCCTTTTGTCCGGAGTTACCCGATCCGTACGACAACTCCCAAGCCCGGACCGGCGTGCCTTTCACGCCCAAGTCGCGGTGCCCTCACTCCTGAACTTAGCCGCAGGCGTGCAAATCGAGCGCTCTTCGGTCATATAACCAGCATCGGAACACTGTTCGGACGAGCGGCACACACGAACAGACGTATGTGCGTACACCGTTACTATCGGTACCAACGACAAAGGATCGTGAGAGACAATCGCGCGACCTTGTTCGTTCCTTGTAAAGGTCGCCGGAAATCTAAACGTCGGAGCCGTAAGCGGAAACAAACGGCGACAACACGGCCGCGGCAGCTGCACTGATACACATCAATACTTGGGCCGCGTTAACCTTTCGGTCTAACGATTTGTCGAAACAGCACTCTCGAAGGCCACATCCGAAAAGAGGTCGAGCCCGGACCTGCGAATAGAACTGCTACTTTCTCCCTCATTCTTCCCGATACGATTCTCTTCTCGTCAAGCCCACTCCGGGTGAAGGAATGGGGCTAGAAGGAAGAGAGCTCGGACGCAATAGACATTCCGACAGCGGGAATAAGAATCCAGAGGAGAACACCCATTCGACAAGACTAGGGTTTGCTCACAATGTCGAGGTTGATCGGATGCTCGTTCCCTCATCCGTCGGTTCGTATGTATTAGGAGCGGGGCCCTCGAGCTAGAAGCCCCTCGCGCCTTCGTTTTCTTTTCCCGTCTCTCATCCGCGTTTTCTGTGACAGAAGCTGAGATCTTATGGCATCGCACTGATCCAATATAAAGGACCTCTTCCCTTCTCCTCTGCTTCTCCTCGGTCCTTCGTCCATTATCGGGGTGATAAGTCCACTGTGTTCTTGTGTTTGCCGACTTGGTTGGTCAGTCAGTGGGTTCGCTGCGATGTCGGTTGGATGACTGGTCCGCTGTTTCCTCAGCACGACTATTTCTTCCCCCAGGAAAAACGAAAAGTAGGAGGAACGACGAGAAAACGAGGGAACTCCGCTATCGACCCATAGGAACGAGTAATTTGGCTTCGCCTCCTACACAGCGAAAGCAATGCGACGCTCCGTTAGACAGACAAATAGACAAACTACCACTAGACGAACAAGTCGACGGAGAATCGGTCAAATGAACGGAAGACTCGAGGAACTACGCTCGCCGCGAAAAGAGAACTCCCGGGCCGTTGCCTTCGATTTATGGCATCGCCGAGCCGTCGCAGTGGGGTGTCTATGATCATGATCGCCATCGGTGATAATTATCGAAAGTCGGCTCTGGCCATTTGACGCTGTCTGGTGCGGGGAGACACGAGCTCAGATCCAGATGGCGGAATCTCCTGACGGGAGCGTTTTTGGAGCCCCACGAAGTAAGCTCTAGGGACCGACGCTGCTTGCGCCGGTAGGACACCGGGACCAACGGAGAAATTCTTCGCCCCCTCAAAGAGCATTGAAAGGTCTCATAACTTCGGTCATTTCCCTTCCCATCCAGTCAATACCGCAACGAGTTTTCAGCCTCCGAACTCAGCGTCATGGAATGGGGCCGCGTGCTCCGCTATTCCCCCTCGCGAACGCTTCCTGGATAAGCTGCATTGCTAGCGAGCTCTCGGAGTCCGTACGGGAGAATCCGCAGTCTACTGTTCGAGCCGAATTGTCGGATTGCAGGCTCAAGGAGGAGCATGATCACGACAATTGATGCCATCGAGAAATTTCCAGAGTAAACTGTACACTCACCAGAGAAACGGCAACCCGGAGCAGTTGGTTGAGTTCTAGCTTGAGCCTATCGCACTGTAGAAGTATCTTTTCTCGATGTTCGTGTGTCGTATAGGCCGAATCTGTGAAGTCCTGCGTTCTTTCGATGACCGCATCTAGCATTCGAGATAACCTTGCACGGCACAAGGGACCCATGACGACTAGCTTGTTCATATTTAGCAGCTCCTGGAAAATGAGGGAGACCGGAAATTATTTTCCCTCTGTACAACAATGGCGAGCATGCAAATGCATGGATGGGTTCCCCTTGGCTCAATAACTCAACACCGAAATTCAGCCGGAGGCACCAATCCGCTAGCGCCTCAGATCGGTGTGGGAGTCGCTCATCAATTCCACCATCCGTGTCTCGTGGGGAACCACTGTCGGCCGAAGTCTATTCATGCAACGCCCATGCCGACTGAAGACGTCAATATGCTCGCGTGGATAGCGGTTCTGTCGATTATCAGCGGGCCGCGGATCGGAATACGATGCAAACAACGCGCCAGGATGCTACTTCTTCCCCGATTCCCCAGTATCGTTAGTTTCCTGTTATCCTATCCGATTCCGCTCGCTGTCTTTCCTATTCTAATCTCTCCGAATCCCTTCCTCCAAATACGAGAGAACAGGAGAAGGAAAACAGTCTTTACCGGTGTAGAAACGACTCGTAAACATCCGACGACTGGATCGGCTCAAGGGGGGGGGGCGCGAGCTGAAAAACATGGTACATGGTTCGATGCTGCCCTGTCTCCCATGTTTTCGATATCGGAAAATTAATTTGCTTTCAACATCGTGTGTTTTTGGAGGAATGTGACCCATTTTGAGAGAAATCGATTTCTCATGTCTAGACTTTGTCTTCTGAAGATCGACTGCCGCGGTCCGTACGAAGCGAAGACCTCGACAGTCACTGCTCGGCGAGGATATTATTTCCTATCGCCATCCGAGACAGAGTCTCGCGCTTTCCTCTGTTCGGAATTGTCGACCATCGGCTCGCCCAATCGAGATGATCGTGAATCATGCATGGTCCGCCTATCACGATTGAACAATTCAGTGGAGATCGGGGCGATACTCACGTGGAACTTTTTAAGTGCGTTGTGGGTTGTTGAGCATTTGTCAAACTCTTCCATTCGCCAATTCGAAGCTACATTCGTCGACTTCCTCGTCCTCGACCTTGCACTGCCGTTCCGTCTATGGGCCGCTGTGAGCTCAGGTAGAACACCATCCTTTATAACGAAGTGCACAAGGTCTATGGCTCGTCGGATCTGGAATCGAAAGCCCATAAATTATCAACAAACGCATCGAAGTGAGTCAATGAAGGGAGCAGCTCGAACCGAGAAAGCGAATTTAGGACTTGATCGAAGGAATTCTGGGGTCGTATTATGGAACTCAGCGACGCGAAGGGACCCACTGCGACGGGATCCCTCGAGAGCCTGGCAGACAGCGAGGAAGCGACCGACCGATGTCGGACCCGAGCATAGATGACGAATGAGGAAACGGTATCTGAATAGACGCAGCCCGGCGTCTGAAGGAGGCTCAGTTGTTGGTCAACGAATCCGTTGCAGTGAGAAAGAAAAGCCGGGGAGGATTCCCAGCGGAAGCTCCGTATTGCTCCCTATGCATCGTGAGCCTGTGTCAGCCTTCAATGCCGCTCATCGGCCTGCTCCAGACGGCCGTCCGCGGGACGTCGTCGGGGAAATCTGTCACCATGGCTCCAGGTGAACGTTTCCCTTCTTTGGCTAACCCGAGTGACCAATGTTCTCCGGGACCCGACTCGTGGTCCGAGCCCAACCGGCGCAGGCGGACCGGCGCGCAGTCGGTCTACCATACCGTCCACATGTACGTCATTAGACCGCCAGCCTATGTACTGCCAATAGGAGCAGAAGATATCTGTGTTGGTCTGCCACCGCCGGCGCCGTCGACGACGCCGAGGGCCCAAGAGCCCAGTCTGCCGTTATCAAGGCCGCGAGAGAAAATCCCTCTGTGGCCAATCTCATCCCGCTGTTTTGCTCCATTCAGTCCGTGGTCCATTTTGTTGACCCGCTTGCTATTCCTTCCCGATCCTCCCGCCTACTCATCTTCCCTGCTCCCGTCCAACCCCCTCCCTGCTGCAGCCTCTTTCTCACCCGATGCCGTGCCTTCCATCGGAGGTTATTAACCTTGTGATTTTAGACCTTCAATACATGGTTCTATAGGCCTCGACTCGCAGACTCCGATTTATCCGGGCTTTGCTCTCCCTGTCACAGGCCCGATGAGCTAAACAACTAGTTGCGAGACCGAGTTTTGGACCCACATCAGAAACGAATACCCGTTATCAGCACGATCGAGATTTCAGACAGAAATGTCCTGAATGTCCTGTGAGATCAGTTTTTTTTGCATGGGTTAGGACGGTCGATAGCCGCTCCATCCACCGTTGAAATCATTTTTCGTATGCGGTGATTATCGGCCTCTCTGTATGAGTCAGCAAGAATCTATCGGACCCAATATGCCTTATCCTCGAGTTCTCAGAGAGCGAGCTCGGCTTTTCATGTTCCTTATCCCTTGGGGCACCACTCTGTCTTGTTAACGAGTATCTTGACATGTGCAGAAACAACGGGAACGGTAGAAGCGCTGCCGTCAACAGGAAGGACCGCAACAGCGATGATGACGAACTTGGGTTGCGTCAGCAAGCGAAAGTGTTCGATTGACTCCCAGCCGCGGCACGTCGGATCAGCGTATAGAAGTCCCGTCACATCAACAGAGCTCGCCTGTAGAATCAATCATTGATGACGATGTGCAGACACTCTTCCCGTGTGATCGGAGGGCTCTTGAAAATCTCCCTCGATATCCTTCGACGAGTTGCTCCGGTCCTGGCTGACGTTCGTCGGGATATGGAACAACAATAGACTTGCGTCTAACCACCAGCTCACACCTCGAGCTTACTGCTAGAAAATTGCCTCCTTGAGCCTCCGAACGACAACGGCAAGGTTTGGTCACGGTGGCAGACCCTGACCCGGAGCGATGTCTGGGAGATACAGATAGAGAGATACAGAGACACAGAAGAGCCAAAGTTCTGCTCGGGGAGAGCCGAGAACATTGCCACGGTCGGTGAGAGTCCGGCAAGGAGCGTTGTATTTGACAGGAGGCCTCAACGTCCCTCGAATCAGACTCGTCACTCTCATCGACACCTTATTGAAAGACCCATCGCCGATGATCGCAATCGATCATTGGAACTTTCAATGGATAAGCGAGCTCCGATGATTTTCGAGAGTCCCCTTAGATTTCCGATAGTCACCCCGATCCCTTCATTCTCTCCTTGGGGAGCTCAATACGAGGCATCAAGTTCTCTGACTGTGGGAGTGCAAAAAGTAGGCGGATTTGCCGCCATCGGAGTCTGGAACGGCTCTAGCTCTAGGGAATTCATGATTGAGGAAGGGTCTTACTTGAAGCAGAACCGTGTCCCGGTTCTCTCTTGCAATCTCACAATCCGGATGCCTTAAGCAAGTTTTTGACGCGTGTAGCAACATCGTCGTTGATCTTTCGAGGTATAAACGCGCCGTCTCCATTTGCGCGATTCGACGCTCATCGTGCTGTAAGGGAAAACATTTCGAGTCAGAAGAGTATTTCACAAAGCTCGGGTAAACAAATCCTCAAGGAAGTTAGGATCTCGTCTCCTGGAAGAGACATAAAGAGACATCACTCGGAATCTTTGGAGCGAAAGAAGAGGGCCTATCCCTTTAGTTTCTTCGTCGCTCGTCCATTTGCCCCCGATCCGTGCAAGATCCTTCGGAACAATACAATGAGAAGGATGCACTCGAAGGCTCTCCTGACCCCATCCCCTGTATTCCTGAAATACACAGCAGCGCTCTCAACTCTCGAGCTCCAAGGCTGCCTTCGAGGAATCAGAGTCGGAACCTGTATCTCCGTTGAAATAATTTCGGCACTGTTCAGCGGCGGAGGAGCGAATCTGCGTGACGGAGCTCGTCATCGCTGCTGCTTTATCGATACATTCTACATTCCTAATTATAATTCCCTGGCTGAATCTTCCTGATGGATATGACGCTGACGATGCGGGTTCTTATTCTGTTAGCGGAAACGTGCGCTGGTGTAATTGCGACTACGACGTTTTCCCGCAGAAATTCTCCTAGGAGCGTTCGCGCGAGCAGGACGAACGCCTTGTTCATGAAGTCTGTTCAGTCTTCTCGCTGCGGACCCCAACCTCAACTCGAAAATCCTCCGTTTCCTCCGCATTGCGTGCGCGTCATTAGGGAAATGCCGAGTGGGAGGTTGATGAAAAGACGTTGCTGATTCCCCTTGATTCGGAAGCATTCCGTTCCCCCTGGGGCAGCGTTCCCAGAGATCCTCATCGTTCTGGGCGCTCGCTATCAGAGAGCGAGCTGAGAGGAGGGAGACTGATAATCGCGGCTGGACGTATTCCGGAGGCAACGACTATCATGGCTCATCGATTCCGTTCCGAGACGAAAAAGGTGGGAAGCAACCACGTAATTGTAGTCAATAATATGCGCGGATCTATCATCCCGCGGAAAGGCTCGGCAAAACGAGCGAGGCTGTGAAAAATGATCCCTCGGTATCGTGAGGCTCTACGGTGCACTTCCTCGTTGTTTCATTGCTCACGTATTCTCGCCATGTGCTGGCCATACGGATCGAGGGATAAAGTGGCTAATAAACCATTAGATAGTTCTATTGACGTACGGCAAGCTGCATCCTGCTATCAGAAGATTACATCCGAGTAATGATGTTTCAAAGGGACTTCCGGAACGGACGACCTGATAGAAATTCTGCGAATATCAAGGGTCCGAACTATGGACTGGAAAACACGCCCTGTCCCGGAGCCCTCCCTGTGCTATCCTTAGAGAACGGAACTGCTAACGTTCATCGCTCTATTCCTCATGTCATGACAAAAAACATGTCACCCAAAAGGGCGAGTCTTCGGGCTTCGCTCAAATCCCTCATAATCGTCTCCAGGGATTTTGTTTGTCATAGTCGTCAACGACAAACATTCGTACGACGACTGAATCCGCAATGAGCAGCACGCAAGGTCTCAGGATCGGAGACGACTAACACCGAGTAAGAACTATGGCCACAGAGACCGAATTTCTCGCGGATTCCTACTCGAAGCACGAAGATCCTCGTCGCATTGCACAGCTCTTCCTCATTCCGTCTATCAGGTCCCACAGGGGAGAATCTGACAATCTGAATAACGGTTCCCGCTCGCTACGCTTTGGTGCCGCGAGCAAATTTTCGGAATTTCGGAATCCGCTAGGACTTGGAATGTAGTCAGAGAAGGACGATGGAGAACGAGCAGGAAAACCTCGAATTTTTCGCTGCCGAGTCCCCGAAGTACATATGTGGATGACTCTTATAATCGGAGCTCCCAACGGCATATGGGGATTTCTGCCTCCCTGACAATGGAGGACATTTCTCTCAGCTGCAATCACGGTATGGAAACTCGATACCAGGGAATATATCCACCGCGAGGGTGGGGGCTTCGACGCGTCTCATTTTGGATCACCGATCCGAGGGGTTTCCGAGATTCGTTCGCGAGAGGATCGAGATCCATGGAGTCTGTCCCATGTGTCTGCAGCCAAAGTTGCTGCTTTCCTTCCGTCCCGATAAGGGGTGATCCGGATCCGCTCTGCGCCGACAGTTCCATAAAGTTTCATGGATCGGTTGACCACAAAAATAAGTTGGCTCTTCCGGAAGACCAGATGACCTCGCAGAGCAAATCTCCAAGCGACCGAGGGCTGGATAAAAGTTTTAATCACTTGGCAAAATACTGCAGCTGTTAGTTGCTGGAGGGTCGCAGAATCGGGCACGCTTCACCGCTGACCTCTTGACGAGCGGCCATTCGTTTGGCGAATTTAATGAAGCCCAGACCACCACCGACTAACTTAGAAGTTGTTAGTGGCAGCCCACGATGGAACTCCGATAAGCCCAGTTAACGGGTTCCGTTTCCGAGTAACGAGCTCCTCTCGGTGATGATATCCCGACTGGGGCCTCGCGGAGGCCTTGCGTCCTACCAATCGTGAATTCGACCTTGTTTCCCCTCGCGTTGTCCTTCCTTCGCTTCCTTCTCTACCACTGCGGGTGGTCCTCGACGCGTAAATATCCTCACACGTACAGCGTCGGATCTGTCTTGTGAGGTACTTTCCGTCCGTTGGAGAGCTCGGCGGGTTCTTGGACTCGCGCCAGTCTCGTGTGGTCGACTGCGGGATGTACGCAGGCTGGCGAACGAGCGGATGAAGGAGGTAAGCTTCCAGGAAAGCATTTGTCTTCTTCCATTGATACTGGGAAGTTGGCAACGCTCCAGGGAAGAGATGTTTAGGACGCTCTGCCTGAGTCCAGGTTGATTACTGCCATAAAATACGTCGCTGTCGAAAGACAGTCGCTCGAACGCCGCTCGTGAGTTCCGAGAAACGGCTCCGCAGGATGTTTTATCTTTTTTTGGAATGGCACTCGCACGTCGCCCGCCTGTCAATTCGGTTTTACCCGATAAGATCTCGCCGACCTTCCGCATAGGCCGAGTCTGAGGGAGTTGCGTCTAGCGGAGGTCCCAATTATTAATGGAGGTGCGCCTAAGAAGCGTCTGCTGCGACGGCGTAATCGACAAGAGCCGTGCGGGGCACTGGACATCCGAGAGAAACTCTCCCACAGTATCAGGGGAATATGCGGCGCGTGGACGATGTTGCTACTTCAGGCGATTCGGAGCTATCAGCGTCGGAGGAAACCCTTCGCTTCGCGATCGATTCAATCCCAGTGCTTGGCGTGAGCTTATTTTTCTCCTCTTCTTTATTTTCGACTTCGCACGATTCGCGATTGATGACTCGGTCGGTGTCGGTCGAATTCCTGTGTGATGGCGAAGTATGCGTGTCGCTAGTTTTGCAAAACGGAAGAGCAAACGTGCACGGAGAATACGTTCCTCGGAGCCTTTTGAAGTTTTAGCTCCACGGATCAAGTTTTTGAAACGAGCTCGCAAACGAATAGATCCCTGGGAAGGACTCGAAGTCCCCGCGAAAGGGTGAAGCAGTTCTCGATCCTTTGCTCGATTTTCTCCCTCGTTCAGCTGGGCGTTGGACAAAAGGGTCTTCTCAGTGAACGTGCGAGACACGAGAATTTTCATACCGAACGTCTACCCTGACAGATAGACGCCGAATGAGCCCGTGTTATGAGAGCCTTATTTATTGCAGAAAGAGGGTGAGGGACTGGGGGCCCGTCCGCCTGAGCTCAATGAGTGCGATAGTCAACTCTTTCACGCGTATATTGGAAATTTTTCGTCCCGAATTCGCAAACTATTGTGGATGACCCGTCATTATGCGATGCGTTCTGAATCCGCATAAGCCATCCCAGGAACAGACACCGGATCGGAAAGTCGAGCGTCGATGGAGAGCCCATGGCTCGGTCCAAGCCAGCGAGCTTCGAGGTTCACATAGCATGTTACTAATGATCGAAACGATGATTGCGTGGTCCAGACTGACGGTAACATTCCCGCGTCCCAAAAACCTCGAATTGATCTCGTGGTCTGTGCATTGCTCTTGAGTGTTGGCGTGAGCCCAACGGCGCGCGGCGCTCGCTGCGTTGATCTATTTTTATACAATCCTCGCCCCGGACGCTGTCGCTTTCCGAGAAACGGTGGCCCCCGACGGGCAGCCAACTTCGGCGAATCTTTTCCAGTTCTTGGGCAGAATGAATCCGGGCGCTTCGATGCCCGAATCAAGGCAGCTGTACTCCATCTCGCAGATGAAATCTCAATCCGTGCAGAAAATAGCTAGATTGCGAGCTTTCTGAATTGCCTCACAGGGCTGTCGACAGAATTCTTCAGAATATTACGCTCCGAGCGCATACTGGAGCGAATTCCTCTGAGGAGCTCGATGTCTTGCTACAACTTGAATGCAGGGGGAAAAGGGTCGCGGTCTCGTTTCCCGAATCGACCGGACTCCCGCCTTCTGCCGATCGCAACGTAGGTAAAATCTATCGGGGCCAGGAATCGAAGCGCTTGCTCGAAGCGTATTTGTTTCTCGGCCGCTCAATTTGCCCTGATTGATTGCGAAATGATAGCGGTAAACGACCAAGCGAATCGATGCGGATGGGCAACGCTTGCGTCGGAGAGCCTTTCCGATCTCAGAGGTCTGTAATTACGCAAATAGGGATCGGCGATCGTAAACATAACACCCCTCACGCGGGACGACTTTTCAATTTGCGATTCCCAAAGGGATGAGGAGAATTCGAGATTCCCTTAGAAAGGTGCAAGCAGCTTCGCATTTCAACTCTCAGATGGGCATGCCCCGGCAGAAGCGGAACCGCAGAATCACAAGTTGTTGAGGGCTCGATGAGCAATCGAAAGTTCGACTCGAGAGTAGGTGTTCGTCTTGCGGTGCGATGGATAGTAGGATATGCTACGCCACGCCGGAGCGCTTCTTTGTGTCTCTGGGAAAAGTGAGGATACTCACAGCTTGCCTATCTGAGATCACTTGTATCAGCTCCATCATGTCGGCCCCGAATTGACTGAAGGCTTTGACGAAATCGATGAAGTTCGTAATACTCTGCATAGGATCGTGAGGCTGTAGTGACAAGTCATTTAGGCTGTTCAAGGCGTTCAGTGCGGAGGTCAGATCGTTTAGACTCGCCGCCCCATTGCCCTGCAGATGGTGGCCCTGGTGGTCCTTGTTGCCAAGGAGTTGTTTCACCACCACTGTATCGGCCAGTAGAAGCACACGAGTGACACTCGAAAGCAGGGTCTTCGCCGCTCGAGCTAGCTTCATTCTGCAAGGAGAAGCAATTGGTTAGGAACCAGCATCATGCTCGAATCGATCAAACGGAAAATTATTCAATAGTTCACTCATCATTCATCATCATAATTTGTTATGCATACATTTTGTCGCTCAATCATATTATCAGGTCACACGATATTGTTTTCGTTTATTTATTTATCTATTCATGCTTCATCATCATGTGCCAGAGCTCCTCATACAATGGATGATTTTATGGAAATAGATAAATTTACGTCGAGTTACCAAGACTACATCCTCTATGATTCACGGTGAGTGGCCCATATTACACATATACAGCTCTGTTCCCCCCGCGGTCCTCTGGTTCCCTCCCATTCCCTTCCCAAAGTGATGGAACATGAACTCCTCGGGCTCTTCGCTGCGTCTACAGCCTGTGCCAAAGTGTTTTCCACCTGATAGCGAGTGGCATTTCATGTTTTTGCCATCCAATAAATTCGACCTCGCTCAGAGCACAACGGGGACCCATCGCCCTGTTGGTCTAGGATCGAACCCATTTTTGATTTAGGTACGTCTGGCAGATCTTCTCATTCTGCTATTGAAGACCTTTATTGAGAAAGTTGGCAGCTCTTTGAAAAATGACTAGCAGCTCCTTCTTTCGGGGTCCTCGAGGAATTCAGACGCCCAGATCGATCCAACCGATGGTCGGCGCAGCGGCTCGGCCGGTCCGCACGTCACGTGCAGATTCTCCGTCTCCTCGAGTGCCGCCTTACTGCTCCGGATCCAACACCTGGCTACTCCGGCCTTAGAGTTTCCCTGGGAACTCCAATGGTATTTCCCCCGCGTTTCCGTAGTGCTTACGTAAGAGCCTCATTCTCCTTATAGCAGTCCGAACTTCGGTAACCTGACCCATCGGCCCTTCGGGCAAACCGAGATGAGCCGGGGGAAGGAGCGATCCAACAATGAAAAGCAGCTCAACACTCGATACGATGACGGTTATCGAGGACTCCGTCTCGGTCTCACGCATCCTCCTGGAATTTTCCTCCGCCTGCCTCCGAAATCTCCAAATTCAATTATGGATATCGCTCTCGTCGACGTCGGTTATCGAACGAGGATTATTCATCCTACCAGGTCGCCCGGTTCGATCTCGATGCTTCATTGAGCATTCCCAGCTATCGAAATTAGGGTCCTCGAATTCCTCGAGGTCGCGTTATTTTTCGACCGAAATTCCTCGCGTTCAAGTGCTGCACCCGTCCGCGATTCGACCATTCGAGTCCCTTCGATGCGCGTCACGAAGTCTTTGGAGCACGATCATTGTGTTATTTGTCGGGGCGTCCACTGTCCGCTTGTGGGGCTCGTCCCATTATCGTGAGGAGCATCGACAGATAAACCGATACAGGACTGCACCGAGGTCGCTACGTGGGGCACGCCTCGCGATGCCTCTGTCGACGGGGAGATGATCGTTCTTAGATTCGGAAAATGGCAGAGGGAAGCTAGAGGGTCGGGGAGAAATTCTCAGGAAGAAAATCCTCGTTGGCAGCGGAATGGTCGATTCGTTTTTGGAGATCCGGTTCGTAGTTTACCGGCAGGCATGCGGAGGCGGCTCGTTTCACTCAGACACGAGAGCCGATGCCAAGCTGAGTCATCCGCTTTGCAGACTTTAGGTCAGGTAAAGGTGTATGCCACCACGTTCAGCGGATTCAAGCTCTACGCCGTTTATTCCTCTCCCTAGAACGGATCAATTAAACTTTGCCCAACAGGGTTCGTACTCTGGAAGCGAAGAGTGCCTTGGCCGGCATCGCTTCAGGCTAGACGTCAGTCGACACCACTACGACGACGGCTAGAACGAGATCTCGGTCGGCCACGTGAACGGGTTTTCAGAACGCTACCAGAACAGCCGGCGGTGCTTTACAGACTGTGGATGTAAATTTGACGAGTGTAGATGTAGGTCGGCAACGAATGTTGCACAGTTAGTTCTCGATGAGCGATTCAAGCCTAAATGACCGACGGAGCAACTTTGTCGGCCTGTACAACCTTCCACCCTGCGTTCGCGGCTCGCTACACGCGCTGACCGACCCGGGCTGCGGCAACTAAGTGTGGAAGACCATACCGATGAGAAGGGACATTTGCGCTCTACAGAGGCAAGCGCGTCGTTGACGGGGCTCCGCCGCGGGCGACGATGTCGGCAACATTCCGAAACGAACGTCGGCGACCCCCCGGAGGGGGTTTAACTAAAAAATTGAGGATCGCAACTCAAATGGGTCGTGGAAGGCCGGGAAGCCTCACGGACCAATTCAGAACGCATCGTCGACATCCTATTTTTTTTTCTGAGGTCTGATGCCTTCCCTTCTATTTCCGTTTCCGATGATGGGATCATGCGTTTTTTAAGGTTCAACGTAAATAATTCGACAGCTTCAAAGAATTCAGATGATTCGAGGACTCGACCCAATATTTCCTTCCCGCGACCGGATCACTCGCAGAAGATGAAGTATCGATAAGCAGCCAGCTCGAGAGACAGTTGAAGGAGAGTAGACCGCGGGGAGTGGTGGCAAAACGATAAATTGAAACAGTGCTGGGACGATTTAATATACTTTGTCGCTGGGCGAGGGTTTCCCGGCAAGCTCATATCATGAGATGATATTGTGGCGAGCTCTGACGCGCTTCAGTAGAATTCCACAGCCGAGCTCGTGATACCGCCGCCGCCGACAGCAGCAGCAGCGACGATAGCGTTCGAACAAGACCACACCGACTCCGGTGCCGCGGAGTTTGAAACCATTAGGAGTGGCTCCGAACACAATGTTAGGCGCGGTCGGCGTAATCGCCGACAGCTATAACACGCACATACCATTAAGGATGGCGTTGAGCAATCACAAGAATTCGGGACCGCCTTGCGGCACGTATAAATGACCATTACGGAACGTTCTTTACGGAAGTAAACAACTCGTGATCGTAGCCGCTGGCATCGCCGGTCAATCGGAGCAGCTCGGAGTCGACACTCGTCCGTATCGGGGAGCTCCGCGAGTTCTCTACGAGTGGTCGGCGAATGAACTCGTGGACATATGGTCGCGTTCTCATCACACGAGTTCTCCCTCGGACGTTCAAAAATGTTCTGCGACCTTCACCTCAACGAGCACTGCGGATCTGAATGGCGAGTCAGACTCCGCGAGCGTCTCGTCTTTTCAAAGAGAAGACCGTTGTTTTGAAGTCGAGGGCGCCGCCGACGACGACGACGGTGAAGTGACTTCCATTGAAGGAGCCACGGCATATTCTCGACGTATCGCGAGATCCTCGAAAACAAAATGGAGACCCTCTTTGTCGTTTCCTTCGAATCTCTTCTCGGCGACTGGTCCGAATCACGTCGTCTGACCGTTCGTCGTCCACCTGTCCCTCAGAGGAGAGTAGCGAGTTCCGATTGTACGTCAGGATAGTTGGTGGACCGGCGGAACGGATCCACTCAGCCACCAAACTCTGCTGAGCTGTGACACAAAGGATATTTTGCGAGCGTCCGACAATGAACCTGCCGGCTTTCTGCTCTTCTCCGGTTCCGTGGTAGTGATCGCGGTGGCTCCCATTCAGGGCGAGACTCACCAGCAGCAGCACCACGACCAGCAGTCGGTTCCTCTCGACATTGAGTGAGCATACTGACCGACCGACTGACTTGCTCGCGGCTGGCCCGGAAGGTGGAAGCTCTCCTCCGGATCACTGTCTCCCACCGTCGGTCGCCATTCAAACAGGGTTCTCTTGCCGTCAGCTGGGCCTCCGGCGAGTTCGGACTCCGAACGCTAGTGGAGCGTGAATTCTCTGACAGCTGATGGTATGGCACCGTAAGACCTTATCCGCAGATTTTTCCCTCCGCTCACCAATATCAATGAGCCGGTTTTCCGGAGGTGGGCGGAGTTCCACGAACGTGTGTCGGTCGGTCAAAATATGGGTATGACCTCTTGCAACATAAGGAGCTTCGTCCTCTCCTTTCTATTCAGCCCCCTTGTTAAAACATTTACTTTGTCTCTCTGTCGATTTCTCCCGCTGCCGTAAATTCGACGTTTTGGAACTCGTCGTGAATCCCGGTCGCTCACGCGAGGTCCTCCCTCCCGCTTCTCCACCTTCTCTCCCTCGCGCAAGCTCACGCTCTTACGGCCGACGTGTAGGCTACCTACCTATATGAAATGGTGGATTGTCCTCCGCTCTGGCCGTAAAGCTCGCTGACGGCGATGAGAGGTCTGCGACGGCAATTTCCGCGACGGCTAATTTTGTTGTCTCAGTCGCATTCATCGCAACGGATTTCGATGTGGAAATTGTTCTCGATGGGTGAACCGGGAGCGACGATTGCTATTCGTCATGCTCCCTCTCGGATTCGTTCGGCTGAATTTCTAGGCCGCGTCATTCCGCGAATAGAATACTGCATGTCCGATTTGGAGAACACGGGAAATTATTTGAATACAAAAGCAGTAAAAATTGGAATGGGTTATCCCCAGATCTGGACGAGGCTCCATTCCCTCATATACCCGCGTTTCCCGCGCTCGTCAGGAAGGCCCGCCGGCGATGTCGAAGCTTCCTGCATCCTCGAATATTCTTCACCGTCCGAATTCAGGGGACCAGCCGCGTCAAATGTAGTTCTCGAGAACCAAGAAGCGTTATCCAATCCTCCATCGTTCTTCGACTTCAACAACAACGATCGGAAAAAGGATGGAATTCCTCCACGTGCGTGCGCCGATCGGAAGCTGACGACATGACTGCCGAAGGAATAATAACACGCGCATCGGCACGCACGAGCACGACCGTTGTTTGCATGTTGACTCGTAATCGCCCCAGCATCGAGTGATTCCCCTTCCGTTTTCTCCCGTATCTCTCCTCCAAAAGTCAAAAACGTGACGCCCCTCTAGCTGAGTGAGAGACGAAGAAAATGAATGAATTCAGGTCGATCGCGCGACGAGTAAGCGGCGGTGCTCATATGGAATCGCGCGGAGCGTTTCCGAGCGCACGGCCACCGAATGCATGGGAGAAGGATAGAAGGACCCGGATCCTCCGTGGAAAAACGCCGCCGCCTAAGTTATCTTTTGTCCGGCCGAGGCCGTCGAGCAACTTCATATGCAAATGCACGTTCCTTTTCTGTGAGGCCGACGCTCCCGCGCATTCTTCCGCTCTTCTCACACGAAATGAACAATCAGACTTCCAAAAAGCTCATGTGTCAATGATCTCGGGGAGTTGTACCCTTTGTTGACGGTCGTCATTAGGTTCATTTCAGTCAACTAATAGACGACGGTCGTCACCCGAACTTCGAGAGAATCGTCCAAGACTCGTTGCTCGCCCCTCGCCCGCCGTCGGCGGCGGCAGCGTCCGCATCGATGACGCCGTCACGTTAGTCGTCTTTCTCTGCTCTGCGTCTCCGAAGTTCGAACCGAACAACAATTACGGAACACGCGCTCCTTTTTTATATGCGGCTTCCCTATCTCCGTCGAGGTCTCGGAGCATCTGCGCTCTGTCTGAACGATATGGTAAGTCCTCGACGTTGCTTGATTGCTCAGTTAGTTGGTAAGCTGTTTGGTTTTTTATCCGACGCACTCGGCTTTCGACCTTTGAACTTTGTCTAGTCATTGCCAGCTACGTTATCGCTGCGTCTGCCACGCGACTTACTGGCACGTCTTCATAAACTTTTGCGATGTGCTGCACGAGCTCCACGCGAGTTTTTGTCACTCGACTTGAGTTACGCGCGCTCTCGTTCGCCAAAGCATTCAGTCACTTTGGAATGGCACAAACACAGTACGAGCTCCTTCTTGGATCGCGAGTCGCCTCTGCGGCTCCTGCGATTTGACTCGTGCGCGGCGGCGGGTCTTGTGACTTTTTTTTGAGAGTGGAGTGTTCGAACTTTGAAATTCGAATAGCGGCTTAGTCCGGAATGGCCCCAAGGCAGAGCTTGTTCGAGGCAGACAGATTCAGAGGAGGAAGAATTAGCGGGAGCGGAGGACACGCCGAAGGGCAAAGAGGCTCCGTGACGGGATCCGAGGACCAAAAAATATGACGTTCCAAACCTCGCACCGAATCGCGACAAGAAAGTCCGACTCACAGAGCCCTTGCACAATCAGAGTCTGTCGCGGAACGTTTTTTGCTACTGGGATCACTATATACGCATGTACACGTACACACGTCGGAGATCCCGAGGGGTTGAGCCATGTTCTCCGACGGTCAGGAGGGGCCGCAAGGAGAAAAAAAACATACATATGTGTCTGAGGTAATTCTCTGGAATCTAGAAGGATGGAGCGGGCTTCGCTCTCTACACTGAACTCCCATAATGTCGGCTGTCGGAGCTTGTTCTGACTCTAATCCAAACTTCTCCATGCCCCCTCCGTTCTCGACCTCATAATTATCTTCGCGTATTCGAGGGTCTCACCGCTGACCTCGAGAATCTGGGACAGGCATGCGCTCCTCTTGGACGGCGTGGGCGGTGAAAGCGAAGAGGATCGGCGATGCTGTTGTTACCGCAAAGAGAATAGCTGCATTACGTTTGGACCCGAATAGGATTTCCTAACGCGCCAAATGCTAAGACCCCCGCGCTCCGCTAAGAGGTCTCGCTCGAAGACCAAAATAAATCCGGTCCGCCTCGAGGTGTGCTTAGCGGAAAATCATAGGAATAAGCACAAAATGGACGGTTATGCGAAAAGAAGATAAATAGTGGACCTCAATTATTGGTCGCTCCGATGAGTCTCAAGGGGGGTTCCCGAAGGTCAATATTCGGATTCTCTCCCGTCTCGAAGTCTCCTCACCGAGAGACGGCGCTGCCCATGGGGACCGGGGTCTTTTTTCGATTTTTCGTATCTGGCCCAATGTTTGGACGGATTCAAGCACTCGGCTCCTTATGCGTGAATTCTTGAGCCGCAGTCATCATACCTCGAACTCAGTCCCGTGGATAGAACAGCCTCTCAGTGCTTCCCGGAACCCCATCGTAAATACCTCCGGGATTCGCCTCGCTCCCCATTCAAATCCTCAGTCAGAGCAGATATTCCATTGCGGAGCCTCGAATCAAGAGTCTCGAGAAGTTCGAAAATTCACGTCGCAGACTTATGAAAGGCCCCCTGAAAGGATTTTGCGAGCGGAAAGCTAGCAACAAACGCTCGCTTCCCGCATTTTAAATATTTTTCTTCCCGAGTCTCCCTCCAGCATCGGAGATTTTCTACAGTGTACCGGAACGCTGCCCGCGGAGAGAGAAATCGCAAAATCGGAAACAGTAAGAGATTTCGAGGGAAAGCGAGGCTTGTGGGAGAACGTGATCTTCAATGTGTACATACCGACAAGACATGCGAGGAGATTCCGTGAGCCATTCATCTAAGTCTCGTATTACATAAAAACTTCAGTCGCGTCCTCTGGGAAAACTATCAGCAAGAAGTTTCGTTGAGGGTAAGGAAAAGTAGACCGTGCACAGAACTATCCGACGAGAACATCCTCTAATCCCCTCCATCTTCCAATGGGCCCTGATTCGGATTTGAGAACTGTGAGGACGAGGGCGGAGATGAGAGCAATGTATTCATATAATTCCTTGCAGTCCCTCGAAATCAGCTCCGGTATCCGGGAGGGAGTGGATCAGATATCTCTCAATCAGTAGGGCTATTCGACCGCGCTCGTCCAAATCTTCTTCTCCCAACGGAATCGCAGTAGCTGATCAACTGATCAGGCACACGCAAACGAGTGTAAGGAGTCATCGACAAAAACTGCGTCGTTTTTTCCCAGGATCAATCGATATATCCAATGGATGTTTTCGGAGATTGGGTTCTGACACAATGGAAGAGCTCCTCAATGATTAAGGTTCCTGGAGCCTGATGAGAGTGCCGAACGAGCTTGTCAACCTTGAAGGGAAGCGGTTCTCTGTTGTCGAGATCGTTTGGCGTTCGGCTTAGAGCCTGGGCTCTGAGACCAGACTGTCACCGCCGGGTCAGGGGCGAGGTCCGCCGACATTCGGCGCGGAAGGATTGCGTTGCTCACTCGCTTTGTTACACCGTATCAGCTAATTCATTTATTCATTCATTATTCTCTCACGCATTCAGCAAACGAGAGCAAGCTCGATCGCACCCTTGCCGGCTCATCAGGTGAGCTCGACCAAGGCTGAATCGTTAATTCCTCGGTGATTAGATATTCAGTTAATTGAATGATGAACTTACCGACAAGGCTCCTGCACGTCATCGATGCCTGGTCGTAGATCGCAGATTTGTTCGACGACGTTGGACGCGATTCGTGCCTCCTTGCACGCTTCTAACATTTGGAGCTTGGCTTCCGCGTTGTCTTGCGCGATGCTCTCTCCAAGGGAAAGAAACTTCTCGACGGAAACGTGCAGGGCTTGTCCGACACGCAACATGTCGCGTGCCGTCGTTTCTTGTCCCACGACGCCGGCCACATCATCTCCTAGCGGGTCGACGGAAACCACCCCTACTGCGGACGGATTTGACTGAAATGGAAAAGAGACAACATGAGTACCGTAATTCGGGAGCTCCGCTCCTCGACATCCGATCTGGATGCGACCGTACGTCATTCCGGAAGGTCATCTTTCGAAAAGGCACCGACAAGCCACCGTGAGCTCTCCATGAGCTCGAGGCTTGTAGATTAGATTCGAAATCGCTCGATATTTCTCTCCATATTTCTTCTTTCCTGATTCGGAGGAGCGCCTGGACCTCGAGCTTGGGAATTTTCCCTGACAGTGAGTCGCTTTGCCAGGAGACTCTTCGGTGAGGAATGGATCTTCCGTCATCTTTTGAATTCGGAAGAGCAATTAGTCATCACGGCTGCGAACGTTTCTTGTGTGCGTGTGTGTGTTAACTCTGGAGCGAAGCGTGTTCACTCGGTCCTGACTCGAGCCATTGAGTTCGGCCTGTCCCGACGTATTTGTATGTAAATCTCCAGAGTCCAACTTTTCTCACCACTCAGCCTGTACTAGTCGCGAGTTGAGCTGTCATCACAGTCGCGTGTACGTCGACTAACGACGTGGATTTGCTCGATCCTTCTCGCTGACGCACACAGCGTCAGTCGCTCCTAATAGCGGCTGCTCCATATGACCATATCAAATCGTCTAAACTCACTCGGTCGTGATGAGCGATTGCGAGCCTCGGCACGAGCCGTTCGACCGAGCTCCCGACCGACACTCCTAAGCAACCTCGTGAAGGCACTCTAGTTCAATGGCTTCGAACCCTTTCGACCCGCTCGTTTTGAAAACGACTTTGGCGAGAGACTTCCGCGATTCATTCGGAGACTCCAGAAAGTTGTCAGAAGCTCCACACCTGCCTGTTTGAGTGCTGTTTTGATCTATTTTCTCTTCCGGTATGGCCTACGCTACTATTCGGAGCCGCGCGGAGCTTTTCCCCTGGAAAATTTCCGGTGGATACCGTACCCAGGATCATCTCCATCATGATCAGCTCTGCGCGATGGACAGCGTGCATAAGTCACAAGCGGGAGTACTTCTGTTCTTTGTGAGGCATTTCATACAACACAGCATTCAGCGCGGCGGCGGTGGTTGCGACGTATAAATAAATCACGCGGAGAGACGCAGATGTACGATCCGCCGGCTCGTCGGCCCGTTCGCCCATTCGCTCTCTTGTTCTGATATGAGAAGATGGTCCCAATCCGGATGGATGGATAGGTGACGGACTGACGGACAAAGTGACTGATTCAAGATTATCCTTTTAGCCGACCGGCTCCAGCTGGTTCCTGTCCCCATCTTCCCGTGGGCGTTGTCCGGAATGGCGCTCGTCGATGCGCGCTCGCTATCTCTTCGGCGCGACGGCTGAGCGACCGTTCCTCACTTATGCAGAAATCGAGATTCCATCATGCAAAAGCCACCTTGACCGCACCCACGGCGCGGTGCCGTCAGATGATTTGAAATATCGATAAGTTTTTCTCACCGGCTCCTTGATGAACCATCCCGAGTGTCGCTGCTTCACGGGCGACCGAGCTGTTTCTTCGGGTCGCGGGACCCAAAACAGGTGGGTCGACTGCATGCATGCAAAGATACGAGACATGTGGCTGTGGAGCGAGCGAGGGCGGAAAGCCGAAGAAGGATGTGACCGAGTTCGGACGTGGAGTCTCCATTTATCAATTTTTCATTATCGTCATCCACTCGGCGAAACTCATCGTCTCTATATCCAGCGCGGTATCTTTCTTAATTTACGGCTGTTTCGGCCTACGCCCACTTCTCCCGGCCCAGCCTCCGGTGGAGACGCACGATTTCCGCTCTTCCACTCTCCCCCTCAGCGAGGCGATGGTCTAGTCCCGCCTCAGGCTCACGAGCTCATGACTCTGCCAAAGCACGTAGTCGATCCTGATTTCGGTGACATTGGATTGGGAAAAGATCTGCTGAATTCTTGTTTATGACCCGCACGACTCCGGTTGGATAATCGCCCGAATCTTCCCCGCCATTCGGAAATTCGAGAGGTCTTCCGAGAATCCTCGCCGAAATCCCCGAAAACCGAGATTGATGCGCGATGAAGATCTTACCCGATCGGAGTCGAGAACGGCAATCGGATCGATGGAACATTCGCGAAGGGGGGGGCAGAGATCTGATTCCGGAGCACTCCCCGGTTAGATTAACCCCTTGATCACGAGCATATCTTCGAGAAGATTCCTCACAGAGCCAGACGCAGTCGACGCCATTCGTTGCGCAAGAATATTCATTCCACATGAGACGCCGACGGGTGATCTCAGAAGTTTGATCCATCAAAGATTGAACTGACGACACCCCGCTTGATCCTCTCCTCGATTACTCCGTCCGCTTTTAGAAACCTGCGCCCCATCCACCAGCTTAAGCCAGCGACACTTTCATTTTCCCTCCTCGTAGAGCACCAACCTGGTAGTGGTTATGACCTCGTCGAGTTCGAACCCGATGACTGGGGAGGCTAACTAAGACCTGCTGATATGCTCCGAGGAGTTGCGATGGGGACATCGATGGGGGGATGCATTCGGCGCCGAAGAACCTGCAGTCATGCGCCAAGTACTAGCGCCTATTCCCGCATTGATAGCATTTTCGTTTTGAATTCAGCCGTCGGAATCGGCCGGGTTTCGGCTTCCCCGTCTGCAACTGGACGCCGGAGAAGAGAGGAATTCATTTCGAGCGGGAAAAATTCATGAAATTCGTCGGCTGAGATTTCGTACGGCCACAGACGCAAAGACATCCCACCAGGTCCTCAGCGGATGGTTGCTCCGTGGGTATCCGAAGGAGTTTAGAAATTCACCGCCCAAAGGATGGTGTCATCGAATTGGAGGAGGCCCGGAGGTCATTGCGCCGAGTGGTGGAGCACGAGGCTTCGAAGCGCAGGGTGATGGACACGTGGCAGACAGACTCTCGGTCGAGCACCCAATGATGAATTCGATGATCCACGGATAGCGATCTGTCTAGGACAATACGCCTAATTGAGCGATTCGTCGAGAGCGCTCGTTCGTCGACTCGATTGCCGTATACCCTAGGATGGTTTGCCCGTCATTATTTATGCATGTCAAGCGTGGTCTCTCATGAATAAATTGTAAGTGGCGACGTCATCTCGCGCTCAACGATTCGGGGTCTCGAGATGTGGTATGTCATAATTTAGAATGTTGTTGTCTCATCGTGGAGGGTCGAGGGCTTGAATTATTTTGAAGATTAGCAATGATGATCAGCTGAGAGAAAAAAAATCGCCTCCAAGGGAACGAATGAGGGAGCCGTCGGCGGGCTAAGGAATGGCCAAGACTTAGATCGCATCGCATGAGCCGACGGGAGCGGGTCGGTTCGAATGACCGACTTCCGGAGAAATCTGGAAGAGCAAATGGTAACAGAAGCGTGAAGCGCTCTGCCCAAGCAAGAAGCCGTTTCCAGGGAGAGATTGAGATGGGGACAATAATGGCGACTCAGCTCGACTGGACACAAACAAACTGACAGAGAGACGAAGGGGCGAGAAACTGGTAGCAGCCGGCCAGTGTCCCGGATTTTCGACTCCATGGAATGGCCAATTTAGGCCCAGCCGGTCAGGGGTCATGGATAGACTTTGCGGCTGTTTCGGAGGTCGCCGTCATTGGGTCTTCTGAGCCAACGAGGAGTCGGAAGGAAAACGGGAGATAGAGGGGGATGTGGTGACGGGGTGTTGTGCGTAGACGGGTCGCTCGTTTCAAGGTCGAACCGACACTGAAGCCAAAGGCCTCGACGCTTCTGCTCCTGAGCGAACTCCAACGTCACGTAGCCCGGCCACTGGGTCTCTCGAGAGAATTCACCCTTGATAGAAGCCATGCTGAAAGAGGTTGAAGGCGGTGCCCGACCGGCTTGCTTGGAATTGACCCTCAGACAGACCGAGCAATCGGGCGGGGAGCGGACCGCGCCAACGGTCAGTCTGCTTGTGGCTGCCGCGGACGCGCCTGAGCTGTTCCATGAGCTATGAGCCGTCGACTCGAATCTGAGATTTCAATTCACTTGGGACGGCAGCAACTTCTTGCTTCTCTGTTTCCCCCATGCATTGAGCCTACGTCTGCTCACCCACTCGTCCGTACGTCTTTTGCGTGGGTGCGTACACGTACCCTCGACATCAGCGGAGTTGCATCGGCTTGTTTGCTCATATCACGTCCTTGAATGTCGACAAGTCGATGCTCCATTTTTCTCCCATGTGAGCTCCCAGCGGATGTTTGCCGGACCTAAGAATGAGCTTGTCAAATCGACGCGAGGCGATGGATTTCATCAACGCACCGGAAGAACGAGCGCCGCGAGATTTTCCCAAGTGATCCGGTTCATGATCGTATATGTCCTCGTTCCAGGTCATTTCGCGAGGATTACGGCGGCTCCGCGCGGATCCTAACCGTTACCTTCGAGCCACCAATATTTGCAATACATGGATCCCGAGTGGAAGCCCGTTCCGCTCGGACGTTTGACCTCTTCAGTGGGGTCCTGACCAAGAAATACAATAATCAACCCCCATTCCGGCCTCTTCGCCGAAAAAATCGCGACCCGGACCACTGAAGAGGAGCTCGGGCGGAGGCTCCAGGTGACCTACGGACGAACTGCGGAGTTCATGACGTTGCAAAGTGCTCGCGTACGCGACAGAGCACACTGGGCCACCTTGAGAACAGCTCGAGCGAAAGCGCGAGTGGCCTTAGTAGACGAACATTACTTGCATAGGGTGCCAATTGGCTGTCGAAAGCTTTTTTGAATTGGGTCACGTCGTCGGGGCTTCCTGAGCGAGTTCCGGAGAGCCGAAATTTGGATGCATGCCCCCGTCTCCGTACCTAGTCTTCGGTCCCTCTGCCCGTACATTCGCCCGTCGAAACCTGTCGTCGCGCTGGTCCGACCGTCGGCCTCGTCGTCGCCCGAATACAGAGAAACCACCCACTGCGACAGTGGGGGAGCAGGATTCCAAAACTTGTCAGATGAGCGAAGGGAATTCGAACGAATCGGAGGAATCAAGCTCGATTGACTCACTCAGAGCGGTAAAAGCCCCAGGG